AATGCTTCTACTTTAGGTACTTGAACTACATAAAGTACGGCGCCGATTGGGGATATGTCGATAATAGTAATATGCGCCTTCGTGGTCTATACTATGAATGTGATCCCACGAACTTCCAAGGAACTGCATCTCAGAAGGTTACAATTCATACAATTGGTCATAAATCTTTTTCCAAAAGCAGAATAACGTATTTTACTGAGACCAGCAAAACCACACAACTTTTTTGATCCCCTACTAATTCCAACACTGGTGTTTGATGTAGCAGCGCGGAATACGTGAGGTACGAAATGCGTCAATCAAATTTGAGCGGTTGAACTTCACTGGGCCTTCTTCCGAAAACATAACGCGCTTGGAATTCCTTGTTAACGAAATTCAAGCTTGAGAACGAGATTGTTGTTTGCTATAAATAAGATTCAGTTCAATTGCTGAAAAAAAATAATTGCAAGGATACCTTTTGCAAAGAACACGCAAAATGGCTAGATTGAACGCAAGCCTTACCCGTTAGAACTATGTTGAACAACTTGCAGTTTTTACATTTGTGTAGAATGCAGAAGAAACTTGTGGGGTGCGCTGCTCATTTACCTAATGGTTTCACTTTCCATCCTCCAGTCTTTGTAATTTTAACAATACCATTAAGGCCTTGGTACTTGGCGGAGAAGCAGCAATGTGGGGAGAGTTTGTAGATGCCACAAATCTCATACCACGACTCTGGTGAGTTTTCTCCATAAATGGACATCACACTAGAATTTTAAGGAAATCATGAATTTATAAGATTTGATAAATAACTGGCAGTGCTTTATGTAAAGAACTATAATCAAGTTGGTTTTGCTTTTCTGCCTTTTTCCTTGTGAATGAACTCTTAGGCAGTAAAGATGTCAAACAAATTCTAACACAAAGCTGACGAAGTTAATACTAATAGTTGCGTAATTTATAAAAATTCACCTAATAGGAAGGCTTAGCCATGAAAGATATAATGTTTGAAAGCAAGAAGCAACACCTTTTAGGAGAACGTCATTGGCTTCTGAACTTTAATTCTATATTTCATGTATTAGAGACCTTTTACTTTAGTCGTTTATCTGTGGTTCATATTATGTTTATTACTGCAAACATAAAAAATTGGATTCACATTTTTCAATCGTTGTTAACACTTAGCCTTCTATCTTCTAGGCCTCGCGCGTCGGCTGTGGCGGAGCGCCTTTGGTCGGATCCCAGTGCCACCTTCTCTGCTGACGCAGCTTGGCCCCGTCTTCATGAATTTCGTTGTCGAATGATGAATCGTGGATTTCCAGTTGAGCCTCCAAACAATCCTGACTACTGCCCCTTCGAATGGGAACCAAATTATACCGAACTGTAGGGGCTTGACACTTTCATAGACTCAATTCTACGTTCACTTTGCTCAGGCGAAGTTCATCGTGCGTGATCCCATTCACTGCTGTCAATGCCTCCTTCTTTATGTACACATTGTTTCTATTGTGCTCATCCGTCCATTATTAGCAGTTATAAATCATCACCAAAGAATTCTTACATTATCTAAAAAGGTAGATTTCAAATGGAATTAGAGAAAATCCCTGAAACTCTGAAGAATTTAGTAAGATTGGCGCAGCACATGTCTGCGTTCTATCGCAAGTCAAATGTGTGTCAATGAAAACTCCTGATTGTTCGAAAATCCTCTTTCTGCATCTAGTCATTGATTTTCTTTGGCATATGTTCCTCAGCAGCATTGTAGGGAAACTGCCGTACATCCTGATATATAAGTCCATACAACTCGTAAGGATCAAGCGTATTGATAACGATCAAATGAGGCTTCATTATCGCAGTATTTAAATTGTATGCTAAATTTGATCATGATGACATTTGCCTAAAAAAAGCGTTCCAGCACTTGTTGAAACTGTGCTCCCTATTGAGCTTGTTGTTATCCTTTTTGGGTTAAGATGCGAATCATGGAATTTTGAGCCTATTATCTGTCTCAGTAACCCCAGTTACGAAGGTTCAATACTCGCTACCATAGCTATCTGGATTACTACATATGCTGCATTTGTTGAACGTACTGGCAACTACTTGTCTCACCTCTAGATTTTGCCAAAGGATTTAGCTGCAATCAGCGAAGGTGAATACACTTACTATCCCTTATAGGGCATGGCTTCGTTGAAAGTCTAAATTTGATTCTTAATTTGTACCGCAAAGTCCTGCAGAATGTTCAAATTTTGCTTCTCAATGTAATAATTGCTTATCATTTTTGACGATAGAGTAGTGACCTCATGTCATTCATAGGCCTCACTGCAGTAGCAATTCGTCTGTAGCGACCTGAAACTCCACTTTTGAGAGACCAGTTTTGGAAAGTTATATCTCACTTGTATAAGACATCGGCTACGGAAGGCAAAACTATACTTTTACCGATTTCCAGCAATAATACTGAAAATCAGTTTTTTCAGTTTGCAAGACCGTAAGATGTTAAGGAAATTTTCATCGTAATGTTGAAAAATCATCCAAATTCTTTTTTTTT